TGGAGGCAGCACCGGCCGCAGTGGTAGCAGTGCTTCCCGTGGATGGGCACCAGCACCTGGCAGAGGTGACAGAGGTTGCCGCGGAGGTCGTCATTGAGGCAGTTTNTAGAATCAAATGAGTAAAAACAAAAAGCGAAGCGTTTTTCGAACCTTAAAGTATTCAGGCGAGCCGGTGGGAATGAAGCCGGAATCGAGGGCGATGGTCAGGTAGCCGACGGCCAGCGTCACCAGAATGTAGGGCACCAGCGCCAGGTGGAAGGTGCTGCTCGGGTCGAAATAGACGGTGAAGAACTGGGGGAGGAGGTAGCCGAAGGCGGCTGTTTTCGAAAAACAAATGGTTTTAGAATTTAGTGAGAAAACGTACCATCAAAACGTACCAATCAACTGCACCGAGGTGATGACGACGCCCACCCAGAAGCGGCCCTCGGAGAAGCGAGCGCTGGCGGAGTAGAAGAGGTGGCGAAAGTACATCCACAGCTTTCGAACGGGGTTCCTGATCGCTTTAATTTGTTGCTCAGAAGTGGCCAGCAGCTGGGCGAGCTTCAGATTTCCGGTCTGAAGGGCGTAGTCGTAGGGCGTCAGGCCGTGGGCGTCAGTCGCCGCTCGATTGGCGCCCAGACGAAGCAGCAAGTGGACGCACTGCTGCGAGTGCGAGCGGACGGCGAGGTGTAGGGCAGTCTGGCCGCTGACCGGCGACTGGGCGTTCACGTCGATGCCGAAGGCGAAGCAGCGGAGGACCACGTCCTGCGGCTTGTAGACGTCCACGCCGGAGCTGGCCTTCATCAGCGCGGTCAGGCCGTTTCTGGAAAAGAGGGGGGGGAAGTTGTTTATGAAGTTAATGAAAAGAGCTGTTGATTATCTTCAACAAAAGAAGAAAGAAAGTACTTGTCCTTGAAGGAGGCATCCAGGTGGTAGTCGTTGACCAGCGTCTCTGCGGTCTCGATGTTGTAGTTCAGCAGGGCGAGGTGGACCATCGGCGCCGTCTGGTCGGTGCGCCACTTCTCCACCAGGTCCGGATCGACCTTGGCCACGTACTTCAGGGCGGCCTTCGTTCCTAGCATCAAATGAGGAGTATAGAAATCACTAGGAAAAGTCTTCATTTTATCAGACAAAAATTTAGTACCCGACTCGGCAATCCAGTGCGAGGCCGTCTTCCCTTGCGTGTCGACGGTGTGCAGCACCACCGGGACGCCGTACTTCCTCACCAGTCGCTTCAGCAGACAGAGGTCCGAGTCGAAGTTGAAGTTGTACCACAGCTTGGCGAGGTCGTCGACGCAGCCGTCGGCGGTGAAGAAGCTGGCCGGATTTTGGCGGACGACCGGGCGGTAGGGCCCTCGGTAGAGGATGGCCGGGGCGCAGCGGAACCACAGCTTCCAGAAGAGGCTGCCCAGACAGGGCCGAACGAGGTCGGCCAGACAGATTACATTGAGGTAGCACTGGTAGGCGGCACGCAGCAAAATGCGACGGTAGACGGACTTGAGGAACATTAGTGTCGACTAAAAATGAGTTGAATTCTTTACGGAAGTTGTTAAACAGGAGGTGGCGAAGTGTGCAATGGTAAAGCTGTAGGCCAAATGCTTCACTAGACTTTATCGCCATCATCATCATCATAACCATCTGATACGTAAGCAGTACAGAAGTTCGAGATTTGCCAAATGATGAATCAGTTAGTGTCCTGCTGAAAATATGCCTCCAGCTCTTCAAAGGTTTCTTCTTATCAAGAATATTCGCAACACTTCCGACTACTGAAGAATCCATTTTAAAGATGGTCCAGAGGATTAGATGATAATTGTGAAGCACAAATTCTAAAGCGACAAAAAATCAAGTGGTCGCATTTCAAATGCGAAAAGAAATTGCGCAAAAACGTTTGCCTGCTTCTGGTCGTAGAGTACGTGCCACGTGCAAGCAGACTCTGCTTAGCAGANAAGCAGTACAGAAGTTCGAGATTTGCCAAATGATGAATCAGTTAGTGTCCAGTTGAAAATGTGCCTCCAGCTCTTCAAAAGTTTCTTCTTATCAAGAATATTCTCAGCACTGTTGACAATAGAATCCATTTTGAAGCAGCTCCAGGACTAGATGATAAATGTGAAGGACAAATTGTGAATCGCACGAAAAATCAAGTGGCCACATTTCAAATGCGAAAAGAAATTGCGCAAAAACGTTTGCCTGATTCTGGTCGTAGAGTACGTGCCACGTGCAAGCAGAGCACAACAACAAAAACAAGATTTGCACAGCAGCACCGGCGTGAACACACACATTTTGTTGTTCACACTTTTCATTTATTTTTTACAACTTATCAGATCATCATCATCTTCCTCCTCCTCGAAGCACAAGATGAGTTTCTTCGGCNAACAAGATTTGTGCAGCACCGGCGTGATCACACACATTTTGTGCACACATTTTTCATTTATTTTTTACAACTTATCAGATCATCTTCCTTGAAGCACAAGATGAGTTTCTTCGGATCGATGGGCACCACGCTGGGCGCGCCGATCGGCGGCGGCGGCTCGCTCTTCGGCCAGCAGCCGAGCAGCAGCGCCTTCGGCTCGGTCGCCGGCCAGACCGGCGTCCAGCAGCTGCACAATCCGAACAAGGACATCGAGGTGTCCAGTCCGCCGGAGGACTCCATCAGCGGGCTGGCCTTCTCGCCGCCCTCCCTCCAGCAGAACTTTCTCGTGTCCGGTTCGTGGGACAACCAAATTCGGTGCTGGGAGGTGACGGGGGGCGTCGGCGCCTGGCAGACCATTCCCAAGGCGCAGCAGTCGCACTCGGGCCCGGTGCTCGATGTTCGCTTCAGTGACGTAAGTTGAACTGAGTTTGGGTCTTTTTATTCTGAAGCGACAATGATAACATTTGCCTTTTAGGATGGAACGAAGGTTTTCTCCGCCTCGTGTGACAAGACGGTTAAGATGTGGGACCTGGCCAGTAACCAGACGATGCAGGTCGCCCAGCACGACGCTCCGGTGAAGACGGTGCACTACATCAAGGCGCCCAACTACAACTGCCTGATGACCACCAGCTGGGATAAGACTATCAAGGTAGGAGAGTGAGGATGGCCCTTTTTTAAGTTATTAGAGCCTAANTCGCTTCAGTGACGTAAGTTGAACTGAGTTTGGGTCTTTTTATTCTGAAGTGACAATGATAACATTTGCCTCTTTTTCCTCAGGATGGAACGAAGGTCTTCTCCGCCTCGTGTGACAAGACGGTGAAGATGTGGGACCTGGCCAGCAACCAGACGATGCAGGTCGCCCAGCACGACGCCCCGGTGAAGACGGTGCACTACATCAAGGCGCCCAACTACAACTGCCTGATGACCACCAGCTGGGATAAGACTATCAAGGTAGGAGGATACTTTTTTAANGCCTGATGACCACCAGCTGGGATAAGACTATCAAGGTAGGAGAGTGAGGATGGCCCTTTTTTAAGTTATTAGAGCCTAATCGAAGCTTCTATTTTCTCTCTCAAACTCAGCTCTGGGACCTTCGCTCCCCCAATCCCGGCATGACGGTGAACCTCGCCGAGAAGAGCTACTGCGCCGACGCCCAGTACCCGATGGCGGTGGTCAGCCTGGCGAATCGCGCCATCATCGTCTACTCGCTCGAAAACGGCATCAGCCAGTTCAAGCAGATCGAGTCGCCGCTCAAGTACCAGCACCGCTGCGTCTCCATCTTCACCGACCGGGAGAAGCCGAACAACCCGCCGACCGGCTTCGCCATCGGCAGCGTCGAGGGCCGCGTCGCCATTCAGTACCTCAGTCCGGCCAATCCGAAGGACAACTTCACCTTCAAGTGCCACCGCTCCAATGGCACCAACAACAACTTCCAGGACGTCTTCGTGGTGCACGACATCTCCTTCCACCCGCAGCACGGCACGCTGGCCACCGTCGGCTCCGACGGCCGCTACTCCTTCTGGGACAAGGACGCCCGCACCAAGCTGAAGACCTCGGAGCAGGTGGAGCAATCGATCACCCGGTCCGCCTTCTCCGCCCGGGGCGAGATCTTCGCCTACGCCTCCAGCTACGACTGGTCGAAGGGGCACGAGTTCTACAATCCGCAGAAGAAGAACTACATCTTTCTGCACAGCTGCTTCGAGGAGCTGCGTCCGCGAAAGAAGAACTAGAAAGACTGCTGATGTTTTCATCTCTCTACTCATNCGCCTTCTCCGCCCGGGGCGAGATCTTCGCCTACGCCTCCAGCTACGACTGGTCGAAGGGGCACGAGTTCTACAATCCGCAGAAGAAGAACTACATCTTTCTGCACAGCTGCTTCGAGGAGCTGCGTCCGCGAAAGAAGAACTAGAAAGACTGCTGATGTTTTCATCTCTCTACTCATATTTTTCTTTGCTCCATTGCATCATCACGCCCCACTCACTGTTTTCCCTCCTCCTCCTCCTGTTCATTCCTTATTCCGTACTCGTGACAACAGGCTGCAAAAAGTAAAATAAAAGATTTTGTACATTTAAAAAAGGAATATAGGGTGAGAACGTTTAATACTTTTTCAAAGACCAAATTCAAATGCCGTTAGCAGCAGAAATATAATAGTAGAGCAGATGAGAAGAAGAGAAAGGGAAAGACAAAGAAATGCCACGAAATTCGAGTAGGTAGTTTGCACACAGAGTAAAGGTCAAACGATTAGAACAATTGCACCTAAGAGAAAAGAAACGAGAAAA